AGCACTTGATTAGTAACATCCTAATGGTATTTGCACCCACACAGACCAGGAAGGGCTTGAGGGCAACCTGGTCTGGTGGGAGGTGTCCCTGCCCATGGCAGGAGGATTGGACTAGATGATCTTCAAGGTCCCTTCCAACCCAAACCAATCCTGAGCAGGCAGCCTGGAGAGAGCCAAGGGCTGGGCTTCTGCTGGGGCCTGGTGAAGGTCTGGGTGCTGCTGTGGTGGGATGGGGGAAGGAGACCTGTGGTCACTGGGTGTGAGCCCTGGTGCTGGGAGGAGGTGGTGGAGGTCAGGAGCTCAGCAGGTGAGGCTTGTGTTCCTCTGGGAAGTGCTGCTGCCACCTCAGCCCCCTTGTGAGGCTCCCTTGGGTGGTGGGTCCCTAGCTCAGGAGGAGTGGGGGGCTGAGGGGCTTGGTTGCAGTGCTGAGCTGCAGCCTTGGGAGTCACCAGAGATGTCTTGGCCTGGTCTGGCTGGAGGAGAAGGTCCAGTCCTGCTCTGCCTCCCCCACCAGGTGTGACAACCTGCTGGGCTCTCGGGGATGGGTCTGGTGGACACATTTCCATGGATCTTGCTGTTCAGGGTTGGTTGGCCCAGACCCTTCTGGCTTCACCCCAGGCAAGCGTGGCCTCCATCCCTTTGGGACTGGGATCACTGGGTTTGCAGTGTGGGCCACGCAGGGATGAGCTCCAGCAATCACCCTGCAGATGTTCCAGAGGGGAATTAGCTTGACCAGTTTCCACTCAAGATAATCCCCTGCAGGGGATTAAGCAGCTCTTTTTGAAACTCCTGCTCCCTGCTTTGCAGCCCCAAGGGCTGGGGGGATTCCAAGGGGTTGTCCAAGACCTCCTTGGTTGGTGGATGGATCCAAGCAGCTGGACCCCAGGTGGAACAGCAAGCACCACGCTGGAACCAGCTTTGTCCCTTGTGGTGGGACATTGCTCAGCAGCCAATCCATGATCCCTGTCCTCCTGCCTTCACTCATGGTCCTGGAGATGTGGTTTCCAGGATCTTCTGAAGAGGGGAGGAGGTCCTGGTCTGTTCTGTGCTCCAGCTTTGGGTCAGTCAAGGTTTCATTCCTGGCTCTGACACCTGAGACATGGGGACAGAAGAGGGGCTGCCAGGTGGTCTTCAGCAGCAACCCACCCCTGATGCTCCAGCTGGAGCAGGAACCACCTAAATGCTCAACCCTCCCTTTTCCCAACATTCCACAGCTTTCCCAGCATCTCTGAAGCCACGTGGGAGCTGGGGACAGGGTGTGACCCTGCCCGTGACCACTGGAGCTCAGGTGGGACACCAAATAAAGTCAGTTTTGAAGCTGTTGAAGTGTTGGGAGATGCTGGGTGCTTTCCTGGGCTATCCAGGAGATTCCAAACTCCTTCAACTCCTCACACCCCCCTGCTCACCTTGAGAGCTTCCCAGGCCAGGGGGGGCAGAGACCATGGAGCCTCCTGCTCCAACAGCATCTTGAGGGTTTGCTGCTGGCTCAGGCTGGCTCCTCTGAGGTCAGTCCTGGCCCAGCACCTTCTCCTGGCCCATCCTGCACCCAGGACTTCCCATGGAGCAAAGAGAATGTGGGAGGAACAGCACCAGATGGCAGCTCCAGTCAGTGAGGGGTCCCCTGGAGTGTGTCCAGCCTGGGTGGGGGGCTTAGCCCCAGGCTGAGTCTGGTCTCCTGGGTTTTGTCCTGAGTATTTGTCCCGACTCCATGGAATTTGGAGCCCCTGGAGCAAAGTGGCTTGATTTGAGGGGAATTCTTTCACCTGGGCCACCAAATCCAAGGATGGGCTGGCCATGGCAGCCCATCCCTGGTACTGCCCAGAGCCACATGCCCTGGGGGTTGGAGTTTGGGATGAGGTGGGATCCTGGTGGGGTAGGATCCATCCCAGTTCCTCATGAAGATACGTGGCGTGAGCTGGATCTCCCAAAAATCTCCAACCCTATCCCATGGGCTGTTCTTCACAGACCCACCTTGCCCTGTTGGACCATCCCCCCCCAGGCTAGACCCAGTCCCCAGGTGCCCTCTCTCAATTAGCCAAGTCTTAAATACCTTGTTAGGTTGATGACATGACTGGTTTCCTCCTGGATCTGGGAACCAGCAGCAGCAGGAAGCCCTGAGGATCCACCATGCTGGCCTGTCCTCTGCAGGTCTCCATGGAATACCAGGTCCTGGCTGGCAGGAGGTGCTCACAGAACCTCTTCTCCTGAAGGTGTAACCACTTGGAGAAGCAAATCCAGGAGGGTGTGGGAATGAGCTCCTGGAAGCTGGGATGGTGGTCCCAGGGGCTGCTCCAGTTGTTCTGCTGCAGGACCTGCCTCTGGACCTTCAGGGATGACAATCCTGGGCAAGGAGGGGTGAAAAGAAGGAAACATACTTTAATTTTCTTGGTTTGAAGGAGAAATGGGACCCTCCTCTCCCCAGCCAGTGTCCCAGGGGGATCTGCTGGCATTCCAAGGTGGGAATCAACTCGGTGTGAGCACCTGGCAGCTCTTTGGGGGCTTCTCCTCCCACCGCCCTTCCTGCCTCTGCTCAATGTGTGGGTTTCCTGGGGGAAAAGTCACCCCCTTCACCTTCTCACTTGATTCTCAGAATTCCAGCAGCTTGTTTTCCTTCCTCCTCTGGGCCTTGGGCTCGAGTTGGAGCCCAGAGAGGTTCCCTGGGACACTTGGTGCTCTCCCAAAGTGCCTCCTGGGAGGCCTTGGCTCAGGCCGGAACCTCATCCCCACATTGCCAAGCTTTGCTTTTCCAACATCAGCAAATTGAAGGGACTTCTGTGCCCTAAAAAAAAAAGCTGTGCAGCCCTTGGTCACCACAGGTGTTGGTGGAGCTTTGGAGAACTTGAGGAGCTCTGGAGCTTGGAGGAGAAACTAAGGTTGACAATTCCCGTGGGATGGAGATACTCCCATCCTGGCTGTGACGGCGAAGAGGGTCGTGTGGTTGTCCAGGGCTTTAGGGGTGCAGGAGTTGAGACGACGTGGCTGGGCACGGGATGGAGCTCTCCAGAGCTGCCTTCTGCACCTCCCACCCCACCACGTCACTGCCCAAACCTGCTGGGTTTTCACCAGCAGCTCCGTTTCTGGCGCCCGCTGCGCGCGACGGGAGGAAACCGCGGCTCTCGCGCTTCCGGCACCTCCCGGGGAGACCTCGGGGCTTGGGCAGCTCTTCAGAGCTCAGGAAGTGCCCCAGGCACCAGGGGAGCAGCTGCTCCTCCCCCTCAGAAGGTGCTCGTGGTGACCCAGGGTCTGTGCTGGCAGGGTTTGGATCTACTGGAAGTGATGGAGAACGAGGTAGGTGCCGGTTTTCCGCCGGCGCCCTGGGAGGGAGAAGCTCTTTGTTCCTCATGGTGCCACCACCTTGGGTTTGGGCTCCTCAGAACCTCCTTTCAGGGGGAACCTCTGGCTCTTCTGTGGGGCTCAGGAAGGACCCATCACAGTGTCCTCCCAGCCCTATGGAAGCTGGGAGGGAAAAGCCAGAGGTTCTTCTGGGTTGCTCCATGTGGATTGAGCAGAGATGGAGCCACTGGAGCTGGCTGGTGGAGCAGGAAGCATCTGGGAGACCCTTCTGGTCCCACCTCAATCCTGGCAGCAGATTCCCACATCCCTCTGTTTTTCATTCCCAAAAGCTCTTGGTGGATCCATCTCTTGACGTGGCAGCAGCTGAGGTTGAGGGGTTGGACACCCTGGTGGGCAGGGTGGTGGAGCTGGGCTCCAGCCCCCTGTTCCAGTCTTAGGGGAAGGATCTGCAGGGGTTCTCAATGGTGGTTTCCAAGGCAAGGTCCTGCAGTGGCTGGTGGCAGGAGAAGAGCTGAGTTTGCTGGGGGATGGTCCTGTTGCAGGTTGCAAAGCTCTCCAGGCTTTTCTGAGGAGGAGCACGTGGTTTATGTTTAATTCATTCTCCTTTCAAAGCACCTTCTCCATACAGGAAAAGCAGGAAGGCCCAAGTGTGGTTGTTCTCAGGGGTGGGAAGGGGAGAGCAGCTGTGATGGATCCTGAGGGTTGGATCTGCTCACTTCCAAACACCTTCTTTGAGCTGCTGGAGTTGGAGCTGGAGGAGTTTGTGCACATTCCTGGTTGTTTTCCTGGTGTGGAGCTCGGTGGGGATCTCCCAGGGGTTGGTTCTGCTGCCAATGGAGCCTTCCCAGGTTGTCCATCCTGTGCTGAGCTGCAGGATGGTGGAGATGTTCCCTCTGTGGCTGGCAGCCCGTGCCTGCAGGCTGTTGGGCTCCAGTATTTTCCCAAACCCAGCACTCAAAGGCTGGGGAACCCCAATGAGGCAGGGGAAGCCATCTCCTGGATGGCGTCCTTGTGTCTGTGGCTCTCCCCTGGGACCTCAGGCACCTCTGTGGCATCTCTGCTGCTTTCTTTGGTGACCCTGCCCTGAGCTGCTTGCCTCGAGTGGGATTGCACCACTGGGAGGTGGAGGTTTACTGGTCTTGCTCAGTTCTGCAGCTCCTCATCTAGGAGGACCACTGGGAGGTGTGATTAACCAGCAGGTTGGATGTGGAGACCTTGGGGAACCCTCCCACTCCTGCTTGTCCTGCCATTTTGGTGCAAAAACTCCCTGGCTTAGAATCATGGAATCCCAGACTGGTTTGGGTGGGAAGGGACCTTAAAGCCCACCCAGTCCCACCCCTGCACGGGCAGGGACACCTCCCAGCAGCCCAGGCTGCCCCAAGCCCCATCCAACCTGCCCTTCAACACCCCCAGGGATGGGGCAGCCACAGCTTCCCTGGGCAACCTGGGCCAGGCTCTCCCCACCCTCACAGCCCAGAATTTCTCCCTCCCATCTCATCTCCAGCTCCCTCTGCCAGCTGGAAACCCTTCCCCCTGCTCCCATCCCTCCCTGCCCTTGTCCCAAGCCCCTCCCCAGCTTTCCTGGAGCCCCTTCAGGCACTGGAAGCTGCTCTCAGGTCTCCCTGGAGCCTTCTCTTCTCCAGGCTGAACACCCCAACTCAGCCTGGTCCAACCCTTCACCCCCACATCCCCCTGTCTCCCCACAGCCTGGAATTGTGTCTCCTTTCAAACGAGTCTTCCTGAAGGGGGAGAAAGGCCGGGATAAGAAGGCCCAGGAGAAGGTGACGGAGCGGCGGCCCCTGCACACGGTGCTGGTGTCCCTGCCCGACCGCGTCGAGCCCGACGTGCTGCTCAACGACTACATTGAGAAGGAAGTGAAGGTACCACCAGCCCAGCTGGGCCTCTGGCACCATCACCTGCTACTTAAAAACACTGGGGAGCTTCCATGCATGGGAGGGTTGAGCAGCTTCCAAGCAGAGGCTTCCAAGCAGGGGCTTCCAAGCAGGGGCTTCCAAGCAGGGGCTTCCACTTCCCCAACCCTGCCCTGGGTCTTTGGGGTGTGCTCTGGGTGGAGGGGCTGTGGTGACCTCTGGGTTCTTCTCTCACAGTACCTGGGGCAGCTCACCTCCATCCCTGGGTACCTGAATCCCTCCAGCCGCACGGAGATCCTGCACCTGATCGACAATGCCAAGGTGGGAGCTCAGCCCCTGGAGCAGGCTCCTCTGCCCCAGGGTCACAGGCAGCAGCTGCTTTGGGCTGGAGAAGCCCTTTGAGATCCTCCAGTCCAACCACTCCCCCAGCCCTGCCCATTCACCCCTGCCCCATGTCCCTCAGCACCATCTCCAGGGCTTGGAAACCCCTCCAGGGATGGGGACTCCCCCCCTGCCCTGGGCAGCCTGGGCCAGGCCCTGACAACCCTTGCCAGGCAGGAATTGTTCCCCAGATCCAACCTCCACCTCCCCTGGCACAACTTGAGGTCGTTTCCTCTTGTCCCATCCCTTGTTCCTGGGGAGCAGAGCCCGACCCCCCTGGCTCCAACCTCCTCTCAGGCAGCTGCAGAGCCAGCAGGTCTCCCCTCAGCCTCCTTTGCTCCAGGCTGGACACCCCCAGCTCCCTCAGCTGCTCCTGCTCACACTTGTGCTCCAGCCCCTTCCCCAGCTCCCTTGCCCTTCCCTGGACACGCTCCAGCCCCTCCACATCCCTTCCCTGACCCAAAACCGACCCCAGGATTGAAAGATCAGCCTCACCAGTGTCATTCCAAGGAGCAGCAGCTCAGCCATTCCATGTCCCTGTGTTTCAGAGGGCACACCAGCTCCCGGGGCTGCTGACCCAAGAACATGATGCTGTTATCAGCCTTTCTGCCTACAACATCAAGCTGGTGTGGAGGGATGGAGAAGACCTCATCCTCAGGGTGCCCATCCACGACATCGCCTCCGTCTCCTACATCCGAGACGACTCCTCCCACCTGGTCGTGCTGAAGACAGGTAAGTTGTGCCCAGCAGCCAGCCTGGCTTTGGGGGTGCTCTGAGGGCTTTTGGGGTGATTCCCACCACTTTAAACACTCCCCATTTCTCCAGACACCCGGGAATGTCCTGGGATGCAGCTCTGCCCCTGCCTGGCTCGGGGCTGGAGCCCTTGGGGAGGCCCAGCTGCTCAGGGGATGTGGTGACAGGGGCTGAGTGGATTATAAACCCAGGACAGGCTGCTGACTCCTCGAGTAGGTGACCCTGAGGGCTGCAATTCCACTGATGGATTCCCAAGCCCTGGAAGTGAAGCCAACCTCTTAGAGAGCTGCCAGGAACCCACCTCCAAATGACACGGCTCAGGTGGAGCTCCAGAGAACTTCCAACCAACCTTTAGGCTCCAAAAGCTCCTTCTTCCAGGGGGTTTTCTGCCTCAGGGAGTGGCTGTGCACGGGCTCCTGGCCCTTCTCTCCCTGTCTCCACCTTTCCATGGCCATTCCTGTCTTCCTCAGCTCAGGATCCTGGGATCTCCCCAAGCCAGAGTCTCTGTGCTGAGGGCTCCAAGGCGCTGACGTCGGGCTCGCTGTCCGAGAGCGGGGTGGTCCCTGTGGAAGCCTGTTGCCTGGTCATCCTGGCCACGGAGAACAAAGTAAGGCTCAACCCACTCCCCATCCAGAACCATCCTCTGATTGCCACTGGGATTACTGGGACGTTTCCTGGCTCTTGGACCAGGGTGGCCACCACCTCTCAGGTTGATGGTGGAGACCCACGGGACCCCATCCTGCTCCCACCAAGTGTCCCCTCTTAGGGGACCAGGTGTGGGTTGGGTGACACAGCCCAGCCCAGTTCTAAGGCTGCAGGGTGTGAGTTGGGCTTGGCTGGCACATGGGGTGGGGAGGGGAAACCTGATCCCTATCCCAGCCCCTGGTGTGGACATGAGAGGGTATCAGAAGGTGGTTGTCCCCTGGTGGCAGTGCTTGCTGCCTGGGGTTGTCCATGAATCTCTCCTACAGGAGGATTTTGCTCACTGGGATGTTTTCCTAGTGCTGACCTCTCCAGGGCTCCTGCACCTCTTTGGGATGTAGGTTATGTAGCCAGATCCCCAGGGAGCTGCACTGGGGAGTAGGAGAGGACATCAGCACCAGGCCTGGGTGCTCATTAACAGCTGTGAGTTAATGACAGAGCATCTCATCTCCTACTGCCTGCCTCTGGGGAGCTTCTCTGGCTCTATGGGAGGCTGAGGAAGGTTGGTGCATCTCAGAAGTTCATCATCACCACCAAGGAGAACCCCATGAGATAACTGATGAGATCTGAGGCTCCTCACCTCCAGCCCTGGCAGTGTCCTGGAGCTGGGCCCACGGGGCTCCCTCTCCTCACTGGGAGGACAACACAAGTCACCACACTGTCCCCTGTGGTGTTGGCCACTGTAGGGAGGTGAAGGGAAGGGCCACCATGGTATAATCTCCTCCCTCCCCAGGTGACCGCCGAGGAGCTCTGCTCCCTGCTCAGCCAAGTCTTCCAGATCGTTTACACCGAGTCCACCATCGACTTCCTGGACAGAGCAATATTTGATGGGGCCTCCACACCCACGAGGCACATGTCCCTGCACAGTGGTGAGGCCACCCCTGCCCTTCCTGAGCAGGCCTGGAACAGGGACATGGGATGGTTGGGTTGGGAGAGACCTTTAAAGATCGTCCAGTCCACCTGTTCCCCAGCCCTGCCAAAGCCACCCCTGCCCCATGTCCCTCAGCACCATCTCCAGGGCTTGGAAACCCCTCCAGGGATGGGGACTC